TTTGAATTGGCGATATGTAATAAAATGCCACAAAAAAAACGTAATATGCACCCTCCCCCCCACTAATTGTTGACACCCTCCTATCTAAGATTCTACCTAGGGAAATAGAAAATAATAGTTAAAAGAACTGAATGGATGAAGCTTCCGTGCAACATGGCTTTGACTTCCATATCCATATTATCAACACAGGCCAGGAAATCAAGATCCAGTAATGCTGGAAGGAGGCTCCCAGTGCAGTGCCAGCATCTTTTATCTGGTGTCAGACTGGCCAAACAGATCGGTCTCTGCCGCTGTGAGGCCTAGGTCAGAGTCGTTATCTAGCAAAAGTACCTAGTATGAGCAGGGAATATCCCAGTTTAGAACATTGGACCAACAAGAAGAAAGCTGTCTTTAGAAAGCTGTTTAATTACAAGTGTGACAGGGTTCCCTAAAGCACCCCAAACAACTTTGCATGATGAAGCCTGTGAGGGATCAATCAGTCTCTGTGGCTAGGATTTTTAAAGACTGAATTTTCTTTCCAAATTTTGTCCCAGGGAATTTCCACCAAGTGCAGCATTCAGGTCCCTTTTCCAGCCTTACCTGAAGCCTGCAATAAAATTTCTGTCTGGGTGTATAAGACAGAGGATGAGTGATTGCTTTTTCAAGAATCCAACAGGACAATCATGTTCACTTTCTTCTAGCAAGTCGCCAGTGCTGACATTATTTAATAATAAATTATCTTCCAACTTGACCACCTTGTGCTTCGAGTTACTAACTTTTTTGTATGAGTATACAGTGCCTGTTTTGTTCCTTTCTTCACCCAAATTATAGTCCAGTTACAAGCGTAATTGATGAGCAGTTGACATCTCAGTGTTTAAGACCTGCACAATGCATGAGTTCAATCCATTCTGCCATCTTTGTTTTTCAAACTGCATTTGTAATCTGTTAACTGTGCTAGCAGAGCAGACATTTTAGCCATTTCAGGAGAATTAAACCTTTTTAGTTTCCACTTTGTTGAGAAAGAAACAGAGAAGTCACATTTTTTGTACTTTCTACATTCTGTCCTCTTGAATGGGTTTTGAACATAAAGAGATAAAAAATATATGAGGTGTCAACAATCCATCTTCAATAAGTATTTTGTTCAATACAAGGCTGCTGTGAGACTGTGCCTAGTTTGATATACATAAGAACATAAAGTTTTCCAATGAGGGGAGGCCATTCCACTCTCCTCTTTGATTACCAGTTGCTATTTGATCGGAGATTCACATGCAGCATTTCTTGAAAGCAACCAGGGTATCAGCTCCAGCAAATCATGCATCAAAATTATCTCCTGTTCTTTTTTAAATCCATTTGCAAGAATTTTCCAAATGTGTCCTCTGGTTTGTGTCTGACTGTTTATTATGAGGAAGTCCACTGGATAGACCTTGTCAAAGCCTTTGAAGATTATGAATACTTGAATCGGTCCCCTATCTATATCTTTTTAAATTTAATTTGCTGCCTATGTACTGTTCACTAATCCTCCTATTTCTGTATTCCTTGGCTAAATGACTAGTTTAGTGACTTTACCTAAATTTAGATCATGATATACAGTAAATTAGGAAAAACAGCGATCCCATTATGACATCACCCCAGTTTGAGCACTCGCCTCTTATCTTCACTCTCTATTTTTATCCATTAACTAATTCTCAGTTGAAACACACACATTTGTACCATGGCCTACCTCCTGTAAATTGAGAATTAATATTTTATTATGTAGTTTATTTAAAATCTTCTGCAAATCTTAATACACCATATTGTATAATCTGTGTATACATTTCATAGTTGTTTCTTGTTCAAAGACCTAACAAGTTAGTAAAGTAACCACTTCTTAATTCCTGTTGACTATCCTAGAAACTTACTGTTTCCATCTACAGTGGTTACTTATCTATCCGGTAATTGTTTATCACAATGTCATATGTAAAAGTAGTCAGACCTATTCGTCTACAATTACTTGGTTTACGTCTGTCACCTCAATGGCTTCTAGATAACATCTCTTATTTCATGAATACAATTGGTAAATTACCATTGGGCCTTATATTAACTTGTTTTATTCTTTTAATCTTGAGTATGTCCAGTACCCCAAACCCTTCCACCTATTCTATGTTAAAACTATTTAATACATAGCTTTGTCCCTTTTGCTGCCTGGGGCATGGTGACTTCTTTAGCAAACCGAGTAAAATACTAATTTAAGACGTCAGACATTTCTCTTGTCTAGAGGTTTCCCATTATTGTCTCAGATACAGTTTACCTCACCGTTTACAATTATTTCTTGCTTTTAAACTACTTAATTAACCTTTTATTATTTAAGCACCCATTGCAATATTCAATTTTTGACCTAGTCTTGCAAGTCATTGTACTCCTTTTCTTTAACTGGCTCCTTTATTTTTTTCTTTCTCTTAAGCTCTTATTTCTTCAGTCTGCCCTCCTGAAATTGTAAAGTTCAACCTGTATAGTTTCAAAATATACTTCAAAGCACAATGTATTATGATCACAGTTCTATAATGGTTATATCGCCTGTTTGCCTAACCCTGATTGGATTGTTTGTAAAGACGAGATCAATACTAGCATTTCCTCTTGTAGGTGGTCCAACAAATTGAGTAAGAAGGGAGTCATTACCATCAACCATTTCAGTTTCTGCTGCAGACATTCCCCTAGGTTTTTCCCAGTTTATGTGGGAAAGATTTAACCACATAAACCCAAATAAAAGATTTAACCCACATTTAACTGTTCCGAAAAAATCACTTCTCCTTTTCACACTTAAATTTAAATTTCATAATACATTTGAATTAAAACTAACCTCTACATTTGGAGGACTACAGCTTATTCCAAATACCTTTAGAGTGTTTTTATTAGTCTGACTTGCAGGTTCTCTTGTTCCTTAAGGTTTAGTTCCTTTTCCATTTTTCCTGTCTCTCCTGAAAAGATTGAATTCATTAATGTTGCATTTATCTATATTGTTTTGCTTAGCCATATTAGTAATTCCAATGCTTCTATTCCAATAAAACTTTTTTTTAATTTTCTTTTACTTTGCACCCTATATAACTTCCTTTTGGATTTTCATTGGCTTACCCCCCTTCCATTTTAGTTTAAATGTTTCTAGATTTCTTTCTGGATCTTTGTACCTAGATTGGTGTCCATCTCACATAGGCGTACAATCTTTTACATGGTTTGACTGCTGAATGACAGAAAAAAATTACTTGTGCCAACCTCTTGTGTAATGAAAACGGAGGTTTTCTGTTTTATTTAGTCAACTGGGTTAAAAGTAGTCATTGGTTATGGAAAAAACATTATACAGTATTTTGTGTCATGTTTTCATCCTTACTAAGTAGAAACTAAGTATAATTTAAGCCTAAAAGTGGCAGGATATCCACAAACTGGATAAAAACAACAATATTTGTAGAAGGAACAAGTAAAGGTTTACTCCATGCTGAAATGAGAAGAAAAACAACAACATTTTGACTGTGCAGCCTTCTTCGGGTGTGTCAGAGACGAAATCCTGTGTTTCTTTTCTTCTCTTTTCAGCATGGAATAAACCTTTACTTGTTCCTTTGCAGCCTATGCATGCTGACACAGCTACCTACTTGAACAATATGTGTATATTATATACATCAAAGTAAACAGCATCTGACTGTTTTATCTATCAAAATGCAAAGGTATAAATCCATCCTGAATTTTCCATGGCCTTGGAAGAGCCTGGTTAAAGATTAAAATGGTTGAAATAGTTAAAGAGACTGAAGGCTAAAAACTGTGTTGTGTTGGGCTTGCTACATTATGTGTTCCATGGTTTGAATAAGTGGATTTGAATTAGAATGGATCACATATACATTACATTTATTACAGAGGTTTATCGCTAATACAGTAGTTTAAACGTAACCAAACTGGATTTAGTAGATAAGAGTACCAGTGTTTTTAAGAATGTTGAAGTGCAACTCTTGTCCTATCTTGTTGCAAGTAAAATTTATATGGGTTCCTTTGGAAGAATAATGATTGCTACCATTTTAGTGCCATGTCGACTGATTATCTTAATTCTGATTTTACTCCTACTTTTCTTATTTTTTAATTGTAGATTCTAAGGCTTTTGGTGATTTTCTTTTCAGAGTAATCTGCTACTGTTTTGTTGTTACCTGTTAGTTTTTATTTTACAGTATTCTGTGGAAGTGGAACTGAGAGGTTCCAAATTCCTGGAGCGCTAAATGTTTCATGACTTAAGTGTTACTGTTTCATCTGCAATCTGGCAGCTTTGTAGTCACTCATCGGACTGTTTGGGCAGCGCAGTGAGTGGAAACTGCATAAATCAGTGTTTTCCACTTGAGATGAATTAATGTAATTACGCACTGTTTAAATTAAGTCTGTGAAACACATTCAGGTAAATAAATTAAAATCACAGATAAGTGATGGTTCAGATTCTGCTGTTGCCCAACTTTTATTGTTTCCAACCTTCATGTAAAACAGATCCAGCAGACCACATAACATTGACTCACCATATTCAGATTATTAATTTAAATTTGTATTCTTCTGCATATCATGGGACTTTCTCCTAGCAAGTGTACTGTATGGAGATGCAAGAAGAGAGGATGGAAAATGTTTTGCCTGTTTGACAATGAAAAGGCAGTCTTTACAATAACTAGTACAAACAGATGTCGTTTTCCTTTTCTTCACAATTTACAAATATTCTGGTTAAGCAGTAGAAATTTATATTAAAGGGCCTTAGGGGCCTTTCTCATGTGATTATAGTCCACAAAATATGCATTACACTTAGAAATGCAGCATGTGTTAGATGTTTTTTCTTAGAATTTTATTTCCAGCCATGCGTACTGTCTGACTGGAGACCAAGCTCTTAAGATTAAGGTCACGGTGAAGTACATATTTGTTAATAAGGATGGATGAAATTAAATACAAATATAAATGTAAACCTAATGTTTTAAATAAAGTCATAGCATCTGCTGTTGTTTCTTTTTTCTTCCTCTCATGCCACTGGACAGTAAGCAAGAAGAATCGAGGATCTCTTGGTAAGATACTTTTAAAATACAATAGGGGGTTTAAAACTCCAAAAAGTTGCTAATGTACTTTTCTGTCTAAGTGACCTGTGCAAATATTTGAATACTTGAATTTGCCCTTCTTCAATTCAAGTAATATATTATCATTAACTATTTTAGCTCCCTCTTCTGGTTGAAACAGTTCTGTTTGTTTTTTTTACCTTGTGCTTCATTGGCTGCTTTCAAAAATAGAGCCCTTTCTATATACTGTACAGTGTTGCCATTGTCTCACCTGTCTGATATTCCAAATGCCCATGTGTTTTCCACGCCAGTCAAACCATATTAAGTCTTCATTTGAATGTGAGTAGTTATTAACACATGTTGTCTAGGTTGATTGCACTGATACTGGGACTAGACAGTATTGTTAAGCTTTGTGGTGGAAACACTTGAAACTGAATAACATTAACAGTTCTTTGATTCACAGTGTTTTATGCAAAGTAGTGTTCGACATTGTTAGTGCATTTGTAGATTTCAATGCAACTAATGCTGTGTTTATATTTACAGTCAGTTATTAATATATTGTTTAAGGTGTATAGAAGTAATGATCTTGTACAGCAGTTATGCAGTACATATACAGAGGTAGTTAAGTACGGAATTACAACTTAAACACTACCGAAAACCATAAAGATTAGTGCTTCATTATTACATATGTAATGTTCTTTTAGTAAGTACTATTCAGCAAGTAGATACTGCAGACCATTAAAAATAGTGGAAAATTAGTAATCCATATATTAGGATGCTTTCTGTCTCTGAAAGTCTATCCAGATGACGGCCTGAATTCTCAGTGGAACAGATATGCCCAGAGTTGGATATATAGGTTTGTATCTAACTGCAAAGATATAAAACAAAAACTCTTCCCATACCTTTTGTGTTTAGAATATAAAAATGTCTTCTTACTGTCCATTTCAGCCAGATATAGAATGAGGGCTTAGATGTAGACCTATTTCAACTGAAATCAATATTCTTGAAGATCTTAGTTATCATGATTGACTGGGAAAGAGAGGCTTATATTCACATCGGATCTCATTGTGATGCTGAATCGAACCTGTTGGAATCATTTTTTAAATCTGACAAGGAAGACCTCAAGAGATCAACTCATTAATAGCACTGTGGAACTGTGGCCTCCCATTGTAAATACAGTGAAACATTCTGCCATCAGATTTAACACAGGGTAGTTCTTAACTTAAATTAATTGACATGTTAGATTGAGCAGGACTCACAGATGATGGTACACAATGTTAGACGTAATGAATTTGTTGCCGGAAATAAAAAAGCCATGTCTTTCAGAGATTGCAGGAAAAAGAGGAATTGCAAGAAATATGTTTTTTAGTAATGTATTCTGAACCTTATTCATGGCTTTTTTGTGACATTCTGGCAAAGGAGATGAAACTGCCTAGGCTAAAGGATGCTTCATGACATTACCTGTCAACACAGAAGACTAATGAGTTGAGTCAAACAGATCCCTTGTGGATAGGATCAAATTATTGGTTTCTCTGCTCCCCCTTTAAGAAAGACAGGAAAAAAGCCCCCCCCCCCCTTACAGAAAACTAGCTATTGAATTCAAGGCCATTAATAGAAGGTAGAAAAATTCAGCCTGTCACTTTTGTTTGGAGCACTTCTTATTTTCTTTGGGGACTTTCTTTTTAACAATCAGACAACTTCTAATTATTCTTCGCACCTTAGATACCCCTGTCTGCATTCAAACACTTGTCACTCTTATCTGTTTCCACACAGCAGCGTAGCTGAGCACCTCTTCCACAGTGTGAGGTCCTAAATGCAGGCGTGATAATTCTATTAATAACACTCCTGGCAGATATGAGCTGTTTTATCAGTATCTTGGTAATGTTCAACAATCCTCCCAAGTGCATCTGTTTGTCGTGTTCTGTTTACGCTGTGTACTTCCTCCGCCAGTCATGGAGCGGTGGTGATTTTATCAAAGGCTTAAATACAAGAAATAACTTTACAGACAAATTTAATAGCTTGACATCAGTAATCTTTGAATGAGTTCTCACAGAAACAACAATTTTTCTGATCAGATAATGTGGCGTGAGGTTATTCCTGTAATGCATCATGAATCTTATTACTTACTCAATTGATTCCTGTTAAAGTCTGGTTTTTCGTTACCTTACTTGGGATTCTGACACATCACTATATGTCTCAGAGCTGCTGTACTATATTTTATGATTAATGCTATTTTAAGAGGGAAGTGTGTTTGCTTGTGAACACCAAGATAAATGCAATCATAAATTGCATTGTATGTATATATGTATGGAGAAAAAAATTGTGCAATAGTATTTCTTTGACAAGGTGTATATTAATATGTCTGTAACATATACTATATTTTTCTCAAATATTTTTTTTTCTGTTGTGCAACATTTGTGTCATTTTCTGATTTGCATCCAACTTCCGGATGGCCATGAAACTGCGTATTCGATTAATCTGGTCTAGGAACATTGTATAAATAGCATTACTGATTGAGATGCTATTGCTAGATTACAAAGAAAATCTGCCCAAGCAATTTGTGAATTTGTAAGAAGTAGGCCTACAGTGATTTTAATCAACTAAAATAACATTTAATAATTCTTTGTGGATATGGTCTTGAATTTAACTGAAGTAGCTGCTTTTATTCCTAGTCATTGGAAGAGATTTTTGACAAGTTTGTCTTTTACTCAGATTTAGCCTCCTTTTTTGTCTCCCGGAATTGTACTCAAAAGTACTAAACATTCTGTAAGTCTCCTAGTGACCAGCTATTAGGCATCAGTAAACTAAAACTGATATTTTGCTTAATTATCAAACATAATCTTTTAAACTACAGAGCAGAATAAAGTTCAGTTAAACTATGCACAAAATATGGAAATGCATACTAGAACAAAATTTGCAGGGGATTCTTAACTTGTTTTTTGTCCCATACTCTCCAAAGGTTTCCTTCTTTTTTATTTTGTAAAGTTTGTCATCCTGTTGGAGTTTTAGTTACCACTATGATCTGTTTATTTCCACATATTCTCCATGACAAATGAATCTTTCAGCTTTTTTAAAAAGTTGAAAAGCCTCATGAGTTCGATTCAAATACCTCCTTTATACATTTCCTCAAAGACGACATCAAAGGCTTGATTCATATTCTTTGGCACCTAATTTTATTCCTGCATTAATTTTCTTAAGATCTCACTATTTTACTTCTCATTGATTCCCTATAACACAAATTGAACTGATTCTGATACTGACTTTTCAATTTCTTGCCTAACATTGATCAGGTGTATTGCTTGAGGTCTTTCACTTGCCTCCCTTTTAAGTTACCTACTCCCATTTAAAAATCTAATTTTTAAAAATATAATTTAAAGAAGTGGGCAAAAATGTAGAATGTTAATTAAATACATAGGCACATAAGCAGAAGTAGCATATGAGTCATAAAACCAAAAATCCCTTAAACCACCTTCAGAATACTGTATGTGGCTTGCTCTGTTCCAGATCAAGTTCCATTGATCTCCTAGTAAACATGTAGATTTTTTCTTCTTTCAGTCTCCAATATAACCCTGCAGCCAAGTAATCTATCAATTATTTAATGTGCCTGCTGTTCACATAGATTTTCTGTATCCCTTGAGAAACAGACACATTTAAAAGGTCTTTGGTTAATGAAAGAGGTTAAAAAACATGGGGTTTATCTGAACACAATGGAGTGTGGCAAGCTGTTTTAACAATTTACGTTCACAAGGGACTGTGAAGGGGATTTCTTTCTTTTTAATTTGAACTGTTTAAAACAATCTCAACAGTTCCATGACATGAGTCATGTTTATCCTTTTGGCATCTTTGATTTAATACTACACTGTGGTACCGAGGATCTGTCCCAGAATCTGATTTGTAACTTATCTTTGAGAAAAACTGGATATTATACAGTAACATACAGAAGTTCAGTAGAACAGTCACATTAGGAATGACTTCATGGGTTTTTCCTTGAAAGCAAGTGCTACATGTCTGGTTTAAAGTTAAACTTTTTTCCATAGTAATGATACAGTATTTTAATGTAAAAACAGGAAAGAAACCATTTTTCTCACACAAGATATTGATCAAATGTTCCCCAAACTTGGTTGAAATTGGCAATATTTCCAGAAACAGTATGTTTTTCCCTGATGATGTAATTAATCCCTGCGTAAAGTTAGGGAAATTTTAAAAGCCAGGATTGTGATCAAGTCTCAAGTCTCTTTTTTTTCCATATGGAAAATAGTACTACAGTATCTTGTGGAGCTTTAATGATTTTAAATTTTCAGAACCCGCCACTAATTAACAAAATAATTCAAGCTTTGTTCCATCTGGGTCATTTTAAAGTGTATTTTTCCTCCTATGTTCAGTTTGTGGTTAAAAGTGTAAGCAGTCTAAAAAGTGAAATGTGATATAGTGTATAGAATTAAATCCATTCAGCAAAATGGTTCAGATTGGTGTTTTATCTAGTATCTTGGCTTTATACAAAGAAGATATTTTTTATATTAGTCATATATGTTTAAACAAAGATTTTTCTTTGTTTTTACATGATGTGCTTTTTCTCTCAAGCATATTTAGTGGCTATGGAAAGTTCCATGATGGAAATAACTATACTTTTTAAAACCAATACTACCAAAGTAATAAACATTTCAATACTGTATGTATAGTCTGTGTCTCATTTAAAACTGTTTTGGAGGTCATTAGTAAGATAAATAACTTGAAAAGATCCAAGTGTGTGTTTTTGGGTGACCTATTTACATGTAGTCATAGTCATATTTCTGTGATCAAAAGTTGGGGAGTGCCCCTTAAATACTTACAGTACATGGTGTTTGTCAGCTGTTGATCAATAAAGTAAAGCTATATAATGCAGCCTTTTATTAACTGGAATGCATTACTAACTGGCATTTGCCCCATAAACCAATACAAAATCATCCTTTACTATTCATAAAAAAATCTTGTTTAATCCAGCTTGCGTTCTCTGTTGCTGTCATCTTTTGTTT